GGCCCACGACGACCAATCCACTTTCCAGGAAACTGTTCATCTAGGAATGCTCGGACCTGGCACCCATAATGTGGTGGTGCACCATCTTGCTGGAAAAACTCAGGGAACGTGCCAGCTTCAGTGCAAAAGAGGGAAACACATCATCATGTAGCAATTTCAAATATCCAGTGGCCTTGAGGTTTCCATTGATGAAGAATGGACCCACTATCGTTGTACCCCATATACCACACCAAACCATCACTTTTGTTGTCCAACAGTCTTGGAGGGATCCATCCAATGTGGGTTAGTGTCAGACCAATAGCGGTGGTTTTGTTTGTTAACTTCACCATTCACATAAAAGTTTGCCTCATCACTGAACAAAATCTTCTGCGTGAACTGAGGGTCCTGTTCCAATTTTTGTTTTGCCCATTCTGCAAATTCTGTGCGCATCTGGGTCATCCTCGTTGAGATGCTGCAGTAGCTGGAGTTTGTAAGGGTGCCATTTGTGAGTAGCTAATATCCGCCGAAGGGATGTTCGACTAATGCCACTCTCCAGTGACATGCGGCGAGTGCTACGCTGTGGGCTCTTGCTGAATGAAGCTAGGACAGCCACTGATGTTTCTTCATTAGTGACAGTTTTCTTGCGTCCACATTTTGGCAAATCCAACACTGAACCAGTTTCACGAAACTTAGCAAGCAGTTTGCTAACTGTAGCATGGGAGATGGGTGGTCTCGTAGGGTGTCTTGCATTGAAATCTGCTGCAATGACCCGGTTACTGCGTTCACCAGATATCAACACAATTTCGATCCGCTCCTCACGTGTTAACCTCTTCGACATGTCAATGGCTGTGAACAAAGAGAAACTTGTAAATAACTCATGAAAGAATAAAGTTACGTTGAAACCAAGCACACCATTGTTTTTCTTGTGACATTACCAATAAGTTTGATGTGTCACATGGCCCTCTTCCTATTGAAAAAACAAAAGTTGTATCCAAGATGGCCGACTTCTAAATGGCCACCATGGTCACCACCCATCTTGAGGAGTTTGCCCCCTCACATATACTAATGTGCCACAAACAGGACTTTAATATCACCAACCATTCCCATGTTATTACGGTGTATCCATATAAATGGCCCACCCTGTATATTTAACCCATATTTTCTTTGAAAAAATGAATTGCTGTCCATGAAGCCCAACAAAGATTAGGCATTTATTCGATATTTTTATGCCCGTCCTAAAACTCAAGTTAATTATTATCTGATATAGAGCTACTTAACTTAAGAACATTTTCATTAACAATTCAGCTCACTGATAACTGTGATGGTTGAGTTCCTTTTATCCTTGCACTGATCCCTATTTTTGCTATACCTCTATGTAGAAAAGAGCCTCAGATTCTCTTGACAAATATCGATTCCCCACTTGTCTGTCACTCTTCATTTGTCCTTAAGGGTGACAGTCAATTAGACGAGAGCATTTCCAGGACTTGATTTCACTCAGCTAGCTCTGCAAGGCCTCAAGGAGCAGCTGTTCAGTGAGGTGAGAGGCTGGTGGCTGAGTTTCCAGACCAAAATGGAATTATGTCCCTATTTTCATCCTGATGCACTAAAAGTGCAGCTTGCCTGAAATTGAAATGAGAGTCTTGCAGTTCTGGGTATCCGCACCTGCCTAGTATGCACCTCAATCATTCAGCAGGTTTGACAGTGAGAGCCAAGTTTAAAGAGAGGGAAATGCAATAAACCTGAATATGTAAACATTGCATCTTACAAATATGAAAACCTGCAAAACAACACAATAAAAAAAATCTGTACATGAGTCAAAATGTCTCTCTCTTGTGTAAGCAAAATACATTTTTGACTCAATAAAAAATAACAAGTGCTTTCAAATTGCTGTATTTATGAATAGCTCCATTGTCTTGTCTGCTTCTGTTTGAACTACGCTCTCTTTTGCGCATAATTAATGCTCTTAAATGTGTGGAAGGTAACCTTGTCTCGTATGCCTCTGTGTGAAAAGTACCCTCTTCTGTGTATAATTAATACTGTCAAATTGTTCTCGGTGTGAGCAGTGCGCTTTTCTCCCTTCCCCCTCTTTACCTTTGTGTTAACAGCATAGTCATTCCTTTTGTGTGTCAGCTCTGTTTATTTCATGTTTTCTAAGTAGAGATTGTTTTGGTTGATTTGGAATTCATTCTACTTATATAATGCGATTTTCTTTAAAAGCCTAATTCATGCAGCTTAATCAGCAGGCAAGATGGGTATGTTGAGATAAATCTTTTAAGGGTAGATGAACACACCCCTGCCAACCACCGCAAGAGGAATGTGGTGCTCTTGATCAAAGTGTAGGACAAACAGACAAACCCTCGTCCCCGCTGGATGGACTCCTTGTCTGTCCCCTCTGACTGTCTGTCCTATTTTTAATGGACAGTAAAGTTGTGACATGCCCTGTTTGTCCCATTGTTGACATTCCTCTATTCTCTTAAGCCCTGGAGGCTTTGTGTTTGTTAAGCTGTAGAGCATCCCTCCTCCTCTTCCTCCCTCTCTCCCCTCTCTCTACTATCAATTACATTAACAGCATCCCGAAGCTTCCCCCTAGCATGTTGCTCCATTTTGTGACAGGAAGCCTCACTGCTGTTAGTTTATGGCCTCCTGCTACATTATTGCACTACGCTGGTAATAGAGCATACTCTCTATTCTAGTCCAGACTTTGTCCTCTAATCCGAGCCCTCTTTCCAACGCCAGACGTTTTCTGGTGACAATGAAGTATTTTTATGGCTGTGCTGATATCATCACATTTCTGTTTGTCCCTCATCTCCCAGGGCACTGCTTACGGGAAAATGAATTATACAATACAATAGATGGGGTGGATGCTCTGCAGTCAACTTGAGGCCAATTTGCCCTAACATGACTTGGCTTGTGTTTCCAGCTAGCTATACAGCTGAAGGTAATTTGAAAGCTTCTGAAATTTTGTATTCCTGCTTTCTTCCTCTCGTGTTAATTATGCATTACCAGTAAGACGCTGGTGGAGCCATGTGGCATGTCAAGTTTACCTCTGATCGTTACCAAGGCCAGAAATAGTACATCAGGCATCCCGACTCTAATTGCTTGTCGTATTCAAGCCAGTATGCATTGTAAAACCACACACCATGTAAATTCAATGGAGAGCCACAGCCTTAAATCATTCATTGATTTGAGTGAACTGCAATGGCAGAAAAACGCTGGAAAGTCATGCTGCCTCGGGCTTTGAGCTTCCCCCAAGGATTGTGTGGAGTGATGGTTTTGCACTTCTCCATGTGCACGCACAGCATGTTTGAGCCACTCAATTCAAGGTATTTCTGCACATGAGATGGTAATATTATGCTTCACTTGCTTCAAGCTTGATCTTAAAGCTAACCCCTTGCTCATTTGAACATTGAAATACCTTTTCTTGTTTTAATCATTTGTCCTGTTCATTCACAGCCCAGAAACGATAAAAAAAAATTAACAGGAATCCTCCTGTAAGCAACAACAAAAAAAAAGAAAGAAAGAAAAAAGAAAAAAAAATCTCTGAACAGTCTCATTTTTTGTCTTAAATAAATTGCTCATAAATTCCCAAAATTGAAACTCATATATGGACATTGATATTTAAGTTCTTTCTCTTTTTAAAAAAAAAAATAGAGAGAAGTTCAATAAACACTCCAGTTAAAAAGAAATCTGGCAATTTTTTCATGGTTCAGACTTACACCGTTAAAAGACACTCTGGAGAAAAATGAAAAACTATCATTTAAGATAACTGAATGCAAAAATAGTTTTCATCTATTTATTTAGCTCTAACACACTGACATAGTTTATCTCAAGGAGTTAAGAGATTCAACCATTTAGATAACTTTATGAGAGTCAAACTCCATACTTCACTGGCCACAAACAGCAAATTTGATCTTAAATGTATTATTATTATTATTATTATTATTATTATTATTATTATTATTATTATTATTATTATTATTATTATTATCATCATCATCATCATCATCATTATTATTTATAAAGAAATGTTAAAAGTAAGATCCTCTTAATGAAGGATCTGTTTTTTGTTTGTTTTTTTTGCCTGTCCCATTTGGTTTTTTAGCCATCAGAATTGTTGTCTGAAGACCAACAAGGATACCCAATGGATTTACTTTGCCAAATGGATCATCGTGGCATTGCCGTATTGGTCCATTTGATCGACCTTTGTTTTTATTATTTATTATATTTTATTTTCAGATGTTACAGACGGGACAGACATGAGTGAGGGATAGGAAAGGGAGAAAGAAAGAGGAAGGAAAAGAAAAACAGAAGGGGAGAGGGACAGTGAGAAAGGGGGGGGGAGAAAAAAATGAGAATGTTGAGAAGAAGGACTTTACAAAACACATGATTAGCAGTTCCATATTTTTACACTCACAAGCCACTTCCTTGGCTACACCTTTCCAGCACTGGTTCAGACTCCCTTTGACCTTCTGAACTGCCTTAATTCTTCATATCATGGATTTAACAAGCAACTGGAAACATTCCTCAGAGATTTTGGTCCTGACTTGATAGCATCACGGGATTGCTGCAGATTTGTCAGCTGCACACCCATGATTTGATTCTCCCATTCCACCACATCCCAAAGATTTCTGTTGGATTGACATCTGGAGACTTTGGAGGGGATTTGAGAACAGTGAACTCACTGTTTTGCCGAAGAAATCAGTTCACTCAGTTCAGTTCATATTTTGTGCCTTTATAAATGCTCTTCTACATACCTTGGTCAGATCGAGTGGTTATTTCACGAAACTGCTACTTTTAAATATCCAAGTATTTTCATTATTGTGAAATATTGCTATTCCCACAGGAGGAGCTAAACAGCAATTTACTGATATAATTTGAAGTATTAAAGATGATTTCTTTGCAATTTTGGCCAATGCTGTCGCTGTCCACTGGACCTCATGTTTGGTCTTCTGGGGTTTGTAGGCTCAACTCATTTATTCTGAAATTTCAGTGTTTAAAATTAGGCTTTTATTCTGAAGAGATCCTGCTGCCGGCGGAAGTCGTGGCATGCACGTCATGGCTGCCTGTCTGAAAAATCTGTAGCTAAACTTTCACTTTGTTCTGAAAGCACAACGATTATGGCGACGTTTTTCGGGGAAGTGCTGTCGGTTTACTCTCGGGCTGTGGAGGAAGACGACGACGAGCTTGATGAAAATGAGGAGGATGAGCAAATCCGCAGAGAGCTGGAGGAAAAAAGGTAAATAACTAGCTGTAGCATCGGGGAGTGAACGCAGAAAAAGCATGCAGAGGGGAATCGGGTTTAGTTAATCTAGCTAGTTAGCTCGCTGAAATGCAGAGATTATTGCCAGTGAAATACTAAGACGTACAAAGGTATGCAGACCATATCATCCCAGTTTAAGCATTTTCTTACTCGGTCAGCTGGATGGATATCTGCCGCTGAAGCTAACTGAGCTAACATGACACATGAGTTTTCAGTTCACCCATTCAAACAGCATTTACACACGTAATGCAGGAACCAGTTTTTAACACTTTCGTCAAGTGTACAAAAAGATATGGCAACATTGTCATTGCTATTATGCCCTTAAATACGGAAATGGTTAGTAATAATAATAATGATAATACAGAAACTTAGTAGTCAAACAAAACGTTAGGGTAGTGTCAGGAAGGGCATCCTCAAGAGTGAGATTTCCATAAAAATCAGTCAAAGCCCGGTTTATCAGTGCTGCTGATTGAAGACAGAGGAAGAGAAGATGTGTGTTTGGAAGCTGCCAGAGAGAAGGAAAGGTAGGAGGTGAGGGTAAGGACTTTAAATGCAAAGGATTTTAAATGTGAAGCTTTCAGGGTGACGGAAAGAGGAAGACAACAGAGAAAAATAATGGATGCAATGAAGGAGGAGATAGAGGGTTGGTCTGACAGAGGAAGATGTTAGGTTGGAAGGGTGAGATGGAGGCATTATCCATTACAAAATCATGAAAGTATTTGTATGTGTAGTTTTTCCAGAATTCGTTCTAGAGAATAGCACATTTTAGGAATGATTTCATGATTCTTTTATGTAAGAGGAAAAAAATATATTAAAATTAGGCTTTTTGAAGCCAGACCAACACATTGTGTGATGACAGGCAAAAAGTAGACACGTAGATTTTTTTATTTTGTTTTTTGTCTTTCTTTTCATTCATTATATAGACAAAAGTTCATGTTACACCTCCAGGAGCTGCTCATCTATAGAAACCTGTAAGCACACAGTTTTTGTGCTGATGTTAATGCCAGGGGAAGTTTGGAGCTCTGCTTTCAATGAGCAAGCAGCGCGTAGGCGACGTTTAAGCTCTGTATGCCTCAGCACTCAGCAATCCTGCCCTGTACATGATTTCTGAATGCTTCCCAATTCCCATAATATCACTTAAAGTTGTTCATGGAATATGGGAGGAAAGAAATATCACAAACTGTTGCAACAGTGGCGTCCTATTACAGCAATACACTTGATTTTAGTGATCTTCGTAGAACGACGTGTGGAAGGCTGTCTAAACATCTGAGTTTAAATATTTTGTTCACTAAGCCCAGAACCCAGGATTGGCAGATCTCATTAGGAGGAGCAGTTTTATAAATGTATAAAAATGTTGATTGGGGGAAAAATCTTTAAACTCTTTCTTCTCCACAAAACCAAACAGAGAGGTTCATCTGCACTGGAGCCCTGAAGTCTCTGAGTCGCTGAAGTCTGGAAACAAGTTGCAGTGTTCAGACTTCATCCTTGCTGTGGGACAAAATGCTTCCAGTAAGTTGCTGCTGTCTCTGTCCTGTCTGCTGACTCACCTGTGATTGGTTTAACTGGATGCCCAATGTTATTACACATTAAATGAATATTTAATATCCCCGTCGGGACACTGGAACATGGTGGACCAAAATGTCAGCTCAGAGGCAGTAACAGAATATTTCCAAGAATCTTTTGTACTTTTAAAAATGATGACATGGGGAGCGAGTAGGTTATGGTGCTAAAACACTGCAGGAAATATAATGCAGACAGTCGGGGATTTGTGTTTTGATCATCACTTAATCTGCATCTTATTTTCTCAATTATTCAATGAGTCTTAAACCTTTGAATATGTAGTTTTTAATTTTTTTTAACTAACTGTTTTCACTGAGTTGGTGACTGTTTTATTTCTTTGAAGTGAGGTTTTGATCCACAGCTGTAGGTGGCAGTAGGCCACGCCCCTCGGCAACACTAACACTGTATACTACTGTGGACTGGGATAGCAACAACATGCATTTTGGTGATCTGAAAAAATTCAGTTGACATCAGATCTTTTTCAATTCAGTTTTATTTATATAGCACCAAATGACAACAATAGTTGCCTTAAGGCACTTTATATTGTAATCCCAGTTAAATAAACTTATTAGTTTTTCAAGCCTACCTTCAATATCTTAAGTCTGGACTTTTATTTTTGCTCATAATCTTTCCTTTTGCTATTGTTCCCTTCCGTAAGGGATACCAGTAGCGCTCTTGTTATTTCATGTTTCCTATTTGGAAATAAACACTTGACTAACTTGTGAGCTTTCTTTTAAAACTGAGAGACTCTGTCTGCACAGGTTTTCTGTCAGTGCACATCCTGTCCACGCCAAACTGGGATACAATCGGACGTGCGTCGGCGTGGAACGAGAGGAGCCGAGCTGTAACGGGGCAAGGCTGCGAGGAATCAGCGTGTGTTTTCTACAGACGCAAGGACAACCCAACAGTGAGTGACGCACCGAGCGGGGCAGCACTTCAAAATATATCTGAAAGCTCCTGACGGTCGAGAACTCGATGATCATTCAGTTTAATGGGTTTGCTCCTGAACTTCTGTTTAATATTTTTCAAGTGCTGTTTGAGATGTTCGCTCATTTATATCAAGGGTACTTTATAATGGCTGTGGCCTGTTCGCTGTCGAGCTGCAAACAGATGAGATATCATAAAAGAAAAATCTGAATAAATTACGTGCAGTGCAAGAGTAAAGAATGAAATGCTGGTTCTGTTACAAAACTTGGAAGAGAGGCCATTACACAGAGGATTAATGAACCCTGGTAATCTAGTGTCTGTTGTCAGAGTTATAACCGACCGGTTGATTGTGTGCAGAACCGCCTGCCCTCAGCCACACGTGATTCAATCGAGATAAATGTAGTGAACGGTTGCTCCTGCGCTGCCGAGGAAGCTTCAGATTTATCACGAGTGTCCTGCTGCCTTCAGGTGGCTGCTGGGATTTAATGTACTGGGGGACCACAGGAGCAGCTGTGGACAGCAGATACCGCGACAGTTGGCCATTAATTTAAAGATCACTGATTTACTAAAAGTCCTGCTAGCACAACCTTCATTTTTAATGCTGATTTAAAGGGTGGGGAGTGTGTTTTAGACAGTAGTTGGTGTGTGTGGTGGAAAATAATGCAGCAAAAGCAGGGATATTAAGTCTAAATAAAGCTCTCAGTTCAGTGTAGGATCAATAAACGTGATTTTTCTTTGAAGAGTCGAGAAGCCTGAAGAAGTTTGTAATGCGTCCACTTTAATCAGTCATCGGTGGAAAGAAAACTTTAATGTGAGTTAGAAGATAAATCATTGGTTTATGTTTTTTGATAAAGGCAAAATACCCAGTGTTTGCTGACCTCATGTTCCTGATTGAAATCTCTGACAATTAACTGACTAAATAGTAAAGTAATGCTCTAACGTAAGTGTGTGTGTTGAATCAAACTAATTTAGCTACGTATTTAGTGGAAGGGGTGGCTACAGCCTGTCCCCTGTCCTGGAGTGAGAGGCGGGTTACACCCCGGAAAAGGTCACAGTTCATCCCAGTGAAAGACAACCATTCTCTTTCACATTCACACCCAGTTTAGCCAGTTTAGAACCACCTAAACTCATCTTTGTCTTTCCGTGGGGCCCCAAATTTTCCGGTCCCATGTCTTTCAGTGTTAAGTACATTCTTCTTTAATGTTTTGGGTGGCAAACACCTTGTAGGTGGGTTTGCAGTAGTATTAAAAAACAAAACGAGAGACACTATATTCAAGACAAAAAATGGCCACACAAACTTCTGGATTATTTGAATATTTAAGAATCCATACTTGTGGGTCCTCTGGGTGTTTAGTTTGACTTTAATTCAACAACTTTAACTAATTATTGCAGAGCTTAAAATGTTGATTTACTCTTCTCTGATTTAAACTCATTTAATCAGTTAGAATATGGGGAAATCCTATTGCATTTGAATATTAAAGGTCTGAAAATGTTTAGTTTTTTAAAATTATGAAAGTTGCATAAAAAGTTTTATTTTTCTTTCCTTGAAGGTTTTGATATGCCAGGTGTCGTGCTACGTTGCAGAAGACCAGCTTTTTCAGTGGACAGAAAAGGTATGTTTAATGAACTAAGCGAAGAACTGCAGGGAGATTGTGTTATGTTGTTAACCTAGACTTTTTTTATGATGTGAAATGTGAGCCAGTGGTTGTTGGCGACCCATTCTGAGGACTTGAGCTGAGCATTTTTGACACTGAATGCTCATAAGCTAAGCCCGATTTACAGAAAGCCCTGCTTCATGCAAGAAACTACCGGCTGAGCCTATAAACTCAGATTAGAGAGGTCAAATAAAACTTTTTACAGCAGTTGTCCCTTGAAGTTTAATGCATTTAAACTTCAAACTTTCATCATTTATATACAGTTTGTTTTTTCTTTGTGCAGAGCCCTCCAGGCCAGCATCTGCTTCTCAGTCTCTAAACAGATTTTTTTTTTCTTTTAGTTCAGCACAATTTTATTTATTTTTTGTTTCACTTGTGAAGTACAACAGCATCATAAAGCATAAGGTTTGCTATAATATACATTTACCAGTATCTCATCCAGGCATGATCAAGAAGCTCAGATTTTTAGACCAACCAGGAGAACTGGGATAAAGTGTGATCTTGTGATGGTTGTTGGTGCCACACAGGCTGGTTATAGAGATCAGAAACTGCTGATCTCCTGGGATTTGTTATAGTGCAAAAGCAGGGTAGCATCTCACACACTAAACCTTCAAATTGGCTACAGCAGCAGGAGACCAAAGAAAATTTCACTCCATTTGGCTGAGAACAATAAACTAGGCTGTACTAGACACCTGCACACCAAAACAGAAGCAAATTGGAAAAATATCAACCGGTCTCACGAGTCTCCAGTCCTGCTGCCAGAATTTGGTGTAAACAACATTGATCTATCCTGCTTCGTGCCAAGTGTTCAGGCTGGTGGTAGTGTGGAACATTTTCTTGGTACATATTAGGTCCCTCATGTGTTCAGTAATAAATCAACCACTGAGTGTACAGTAATTATTTATTTACTGGCTTTTTTTTTAACCACACACTGAGATTACAGTGAGACATGGTGGTTTTTCAGCGTGACCAGCATGGTTAAAGTGTTGTTTGCCTGACTGTGTGTTTCTTTTGTCTCCTGTAGGTGTTTGACTGTCTGCAGCTCAGAGAGCTGAATGTGACGGTGCTGTCAGACACCTCTGTGGCTGATTATAAGACGGCAGACTATCTGGGTGGCAGCTCCGCTCCCTTCCTGCGCTCTCTCCACACCAGTGCTTTTGGTGATCAGCCTGTCTGCCAGTCACTGGAGCAACCCAACATAGTTACTGGACTTGCAGCTGCAGGTATTACTGTTGCACGACTGCGTGACTCGGATGTCTCAGACTTAAACTGTTTGTACTTCTTTTTCTCTCTCATTTTGCAAACGCACAAGGAAAACCTACAGACGCTGCATAAAAAAAAAATGCAACTCTGCTTCCCCAGTCGTGGTATTGCTGTGCAAATTTAGCAGAAAAAAACCCTTTGATGTTTGATTGAATGGCAGCTTTATTCTTACAGATGGGTTAGGGAGGCATTTTCCTTTAACCCAGATTTCCTGCCTTCTAGGCAACCTTTCCTAAGCTATTTTGGTGTCATGTGCGCCTCTTGTTTCCTTTCCATGTTTGAAATCAACACCTGCCAAGCACCAGATTCTCCTACTGAACAACATATACATGAATAAATCTCTGATAGGCCAAAATCAGCCAGAAATATAAGCCAGGTGATTTACTGGTCAGGCTCTAGTTCTGCAGACTGTATTCCCATTCTTTATAAATTAATGAAAAAAACCCTCTACAGAGTTTCTATAGAGTCTTATGTGTTAACTCAGGAGTTTTATCCTACTTCTATAAGACATTTATCTGAAACAGTGTAGATGACCAGGACAATTACTGTGAAAAGAAGAAACCGGAAGAAGTAATTTTCTCACAGACATACAACAAGTCATGTTTCTGGTATAAATTAGGCCTTAGCAAAGGAATTACCTCAAACGTTTTTCATGACCACCAGAGGGCGACACCTGTGCTTGCACAAACACCCCAGTACTGTAGAAGTCTGAGTAAAAGCAGCGTTCGGCCCCAACCTCTGTTTGCTTATGAGTTTAAGGGCTTGGTCATGTGATTTGAGTCATGCTGACTAAAACATGAAGCCCATTTTGTGAATTTTGTTCTGTTTAAATTTCAGAATGGTTTATCTGGCGTATGCTCATGCTAATGTCTTGTTATTGACGTGTCACTGGGTTGTGAGCATGCGGTTTCAATCACATCCACACCTTGCCCACTGCAAAAGGTTTCAAGACACCAAAGCTCAGTTTGACGTCACAGTAGCTATGTCCATCTTTTGTATCTGGGCTCTGTGGTGTAGTGGTTAACACATACATGCCAAAACTCCCTGGATGGAGACACAAGTCCAGCCTAAAGAGGTCACAAGTTAATGCACTCAAAGTGCTGGTCAAAGACCAGATTAATGGGATTATTGCATCAGGCAAGCTGCCTCTTTCCACTGTGGTGACCCCTTGGGAAATAAGCGAGGTGCTGAAAATATCTTACTGTTCATTGTGAACTGAGATCAGTGTTTTAACTTAAAAATATTTTCACTTCCTGTGTATGTCATTTCCAATTTGGTCTTGAATTCCGTTTAAAGTGGCTTTAAGAAGGTGCTTTATAAAGACACATATTTAACACCTATTTCTGCTGCACAGCACCAGTCTTTCTCTTCAGTAATGGGACAAAGTGAAATAGGCTGTAAAAGTGCTGTAAATAAAGCTTTAGCTGTGTTTGTTTCCCAGCTTTTCTTGTTGAAGTGTCCTTGAGTAAGATACTGAACCCCAGTTTGCTCCTGATGTGTGTCTGTGTGTGTTTGAGAAGTCGCTTTGGACAACAGTTTCTGCCAACTGAATGAAATGTGGTGCCATTAGGCTCCTCTCCACTCACTGAGAACATAAAGTCCTGCATCCTGATTTTTGGTGCGAGTGCTCTTAAAGACGCAGGTTCCAAACAAACAGATGTATCATCAGGAGATCACTGGACGGTCACGCACACCTCATATCAATAACCTCGGTGTCTTCTTCTTCTTTGTGCTGTTTCATCAGTACTGAACCACTGCCAGGTCCACCGCATCGCCGCTGTTGTTTACCAGTGTTACAGTGATGTCATTGGCCCTGACTCTGTCACCATGGAGACCTACAAGCCTGTATTAACCAAACTTGGCAGATCTATACAGGTGAGCTGTTTTTCCTTTTTATATCTGAAGAGGCTTTTAAAAAGGTCACAAAGGAAGGATGCACACGAATGTCCTACATCTACTGAGCCGCTCTCTTGGCTGAACCCCAGTCGATGACGCCACTGCAGGTTTTAATGCTGATGGAAATAGAGCTGTAAAGTTTGAGGAGCAAACTTTCAAAAGTTTATTTCAATTTTAAGGTCTGTCTTTCGAGCAATAGCCACAGTCAGAGCTCCCACAGGTCATTTAAAAGTCACAGATAGTGAGTGAAACTGAAAGAAAGTGTCTCCTGAAAAGGTGTGTGATTAAGAGAAGTCATAAACACTTTCATTTTGTAAATAGGTTGCTCAGCATTTGTTATTTTGTTGTCAAACTCTATTTATTTTAAGATTCACCTACATTTTATTTATAGAGCAACGCAATAACCTTACCATATAACAAGACATGTTATATGGTAAGGTAAAGACCCTGCAATAGTACAAGAGGAAACCCAAATGATCAGAAGATTACCCATGAGCAAACACACAGCGACAGTGGGAAGAAAGAACACCTTTTTAACAGGAAGAGATCCCCAGCAGAACCAGGCTCAGAGAAGTGATGGGAAAGAGAAGAGAGACAAAGGGAGAGCAGAGAGAGATGAAGACAAAGCAAACTACAGGAGTGAGCAGACAGAATTTAATGCTATGCAGTAGCAGTGTATAGATGCATTGTGAATGAGAAGAGCAGAGTTGAGATTGGTCGGTGCATCATGGGAAGTCTCCCAGCAGTCTGAGCCTGCAGCAGCATTAACTACGGGATAGCTCAGGGTCACCTCTTCCAGCCTAACTATACCCTAACTGGGAGCTTGTTGCACAAAGAGGGGCCTGATATCAAGTTAACCAGAAGCCAGAAAAGCAACGTTATAACAGAGACTCATACAGAGTATTTAAAACAATAGGAAGCGTCCACTGTATTTTCTGTTTTTCTCCTGTTGTTTTTTAATGTTTAACATGTTTTTGGGCTTTGTGGTGAACTCAATCTCCTGTTCCAACCCACTTTAGGACATCTGCATAGATCGCACACTGATAATCCTTCACAAAAGATGCAAATGCAGCAGCACTAGTTTTCAGCATGAAAAGGGTATTTCTAATTTTAGCTATATTGTTCTGATAAATAAAGGTAGTCCTAGATGGGTTTAATCCATGTTAAAGAACTCCTTCTGGTCAAAAATGACTCCCGGGCCACAAGAGTGAGTGTTCGGTTAGACGTCTGTGAAGGTTCTCAGTCATCGTGGTGGAGAGAATCTGGGACTCTCCACCATTTGACTCTTAGAACTGAAGAAGCTTCTCGGATGAGAAGTGAAACGTCTTCAAGCAACTTAAACAAGTCCAGACGCTTTTCTTTCCAAGCTCCTTAGACTGTCTGGTTAGACCTTTGAGATTTCTTGTAGACACAGTTCACAATCTAAACTCATGTGAAACTTCTGTAGGTTTGCTTTATTACGAGGATCATTAACTGCTTAATCTTGTCAGTAATCACATTTTTGTTCATCAGGCCTGCGTGGTGGATAGCTCTAATCCATACAACACCCATGAGCCTTGACGGCTTGTTGCAGTGCAGGAGAGGCAGAATCAGAATGGAAGCCAAATGAAAGCGCTTCACTGTTGAATTTATCTGAAATATGGTTCCCAAATGAAACCAAACCCAGAAGCAGGGATTCCAGCAGCAGCTTGTGTTATAATTTTTCTCTTTCAACCTTTAAGATTTTTGATTTGATAAAACTTTGCAAAAAAGTGCCCTCGGAGTCTCAGATTAAAATCTCCCAAGAAAGTTTTAGGTTTGCATGTTTGACTTATTATCAACGATCCTTTCCGATGCAGCTGCTCTTCCCTTGCTGATGAATTATCCAAGAGTGATTCATGCTCCAGCTCTGACTCAGGCAACATTGTCTTTGGTTACTTCACAAGTCAGGTGTCTAAGATCAAAGAAGATTTGTTTGTTTTTCCAGCAAATTTGTCAGTGCCTACTGTAACGATGGAAACGCGCTTTATTTATACCCGAGATCTCTTTTATATACTTTGAAACCCTTGCAAGTTTTTAGAGAACATCAGTCATCAAATCCATGAGGGTTTATAAAACAAAAAGCTGTATTTAAATGAAACGAAACTGTTTTTCATTTTAATTTCCTGCATTTCTCTTTCTCCTCAGCTCGATCCGTCTCCAAGCACAGATGCCCTGCGCAAGTTTGTCAGGACCACCGACCTTCAGAGCAATCTTTATATCTGAGTCCGTGCTGCACCCTCTGTAATTCTATTTTTCTGTCGTAAAATGCTGTCATTTTTTTAAAATAAAGACATTTTAAGGAAAAAAATATTAGAAATCTTTTAAGTTTAATTATTTACTTCAGTCTGTCCATAAATAATAGGTCCTAAAAGTTTCCAAAGAAATGCAGATGCATACCAAGAAAGCTGTTGCAGCTTTATGGAGAACATATATAAACTTTTAACTTGCATGTAACTATTTTCTTAAGAATTACAGGCTAAATCGTTCCACAAGGTGATACAGACAGTCCACGTAAAAACATTTCCATCGGGGATAAAAACAGCTGAGGTTACTTGAAACTACAGATTTGTAAACTGCTCAAAAGTTTCCTCCGTTTTCCTCCCTCTCTGATTCCTGAATAAAGTCAATTTTATAAATATTTTTATTGGGGTTTTTTTTTCTAGAGAGTCAGATAAGTATTTTTTGAATGCATATAAAATTTGGTACAAATATTCTTGGATGAAATCTGTCAACCTTTGGTTCCTTCTGAGTTTTTGTGCCTGCAAAACTAATAACACTCCCAGATTAGTGAGCCTTGAAAAAGCATGTTTGATAGACGTGTCCTCTGAGCTATAATCTCTTGCATTAATCTCACATGAAGTTATTAAGTGCTATACATATCCTTTTGGGCGAGCATGTCTCATTATTCCCACTGATCTCCTGTCAGCTGAGCATGCTATGGCAACAGCAAAAATAAGCCCAACAGTAGCTGAGAAGGGCCTATATTTCCATTTTATGGCAAGCACAGTTTCATTTTGGTGCAGAAAAAAGACAAAACTGAAAGCAACATGTCACAAAGGCAACAAAATGCTTTATTATAAAGTCTTCTTACACATTTTCAAGTTATATGTATGCATGTAATCATTGTTTATGAAATTATTACTATAATTTATGAAATGGACAGATTGGAGTCGTTTCATTTCCCAGTGTGTGGGGATGACAGCCCTGCCAGTGTTTCCTCCTGGCCAGATGGGGGCAGCAATGCGCCGGTGAACCCCAAAACGCTCAAAGAAGTTGAAGTGAGCGAAACTCAAACAAACCAGTTGGTCTAGATTGTGCACAGGTCCTCGTAACAGGTGCTTTAAAAAAATAATAATTTTTTTTTTTGCCATTTAAACAGTGGAGATCGTGCATAATAGAGTCGATGTATGTGCTGTGTCTGTCTGTAGTAAGCCTGCGTAAAAATATTGCTGTCTGTGGGTTAGCCCTGCTTAAAACGTTAGCCTGGTTACCAGGCTACCAATGAATGCTAACCGGGTTATAGCTCCTAAAAACGGCAGGAACAAAGCTCCAGTCGGGCGGATGAAGGAACACCGAGCCTTCAGAGCCAGCAGAGTGCTGGCTGAGAGGAACCAGGCGGTGGTGGCGGTGGGAGCCTGGGTGGAGGGCGGACAAGACTTCGTGGAGCATCCGGCTGTAAGTTTGGATGTGGAGAAGCTAACTGCTGACAGTTACTGTTTGTTGACATAAGCTCTCCTTCCCGTCTCCTTTCCATTTAAATTTACTTCATACTAAAGAACTATCGATATATAAGCAAATATTCACACCGGAGGAGTTTAATCCATTGCAATTTAGACATTTATTATAACTTATTAATGTTGGGTGGTCTTAATCTAAAATCACTTTTCACTTTAAAATTATGTTTCTAAGACATTTCACTGTCATAAATCACCCTGATGTTCATCTCCACCTGCTCCACCCTGCTTGCACGCTCTTTTTTACCTCTCATGTGCACTGTCTGCTGGTGTGAGTGGTCATCCGCCTTCGCTATTACACCTGTCTCCTTCTCATTAACACACATGTATTCTGTCTCTCTTCTACTGACTATGAATGAATGGGTGCACTTGTGATTTGGTAAGAAAAACCTGGAAAATTTCTATTTAAATTCCAACTGTGCAAGATTATAGACTTATCAATATCAATATAGACACAGGGGGATTTTACATTAATTAAAGAATAGAAGGACATTTAACTGGCAAGTAGACTTGCCCTAGATGCAAATTTTATATAAGGTTAGCTGGTGCAAGTCTTAGTTGCCCTTGGTTTTCTTCACTACAGTATTCGAAACTAGTTTTCCTGTGTCTTGGTTTAGACTCTTGCTTTGCTGACTGATGAGCTACAGGCAGAGAAGAGGAGGGAGAACGAAGAGAGCCTTCAGCGTTTTCAGGATGAAGTGCGCCACCGTGTGGCACAGAAAGCACATTTGTTCAAGAAGAGACAGCAGCTGCAGACAGATCCAGTGGTAAAAAAAAAAAAAACTTGACTCAAATGAAGTGTTAATTATGTTCCTTTCACCCCAGATTCCCAGCTGAAATTAACACTGCAGCTAACCAGATTTATAGCTAACATTATTGAGTTATTTTGACTATCATTTAGAAAAGGTAAAACAAATTGTAATGTACTATCATTGTCATTGTTAAATTTATCAAATATATTCCAGGTGTTTTATTACGTTTAATATCTAATTAAATGGCATGTTGATTATGTTGATGTAACATAAAACCCTTAGATGAAGCAGCTCCTCATATCTGAGAAAACTTTGTGAAACCACATTTTAAACACACGGATAGCTGAGCCCTCTGATTGCCTTTCCTGCTGCTGCTGATGTTGTTGTCTGCTTGTCCTGTATTGTTGCATATGGTGTATTTTTTGTCCAGGTGACACCTGACATGCGAGTCATCTGGACCCATCGTGAAGGTGAGACGGTGAGAACTGCTGCACAGCAAAGGGTGATGGAAAGGAGACCTCAGGAGGTGAGATATTAGTAAATAATTACAGGTACAATGTGTGCACCCTCCAGAGAACTAAACTTTAGTGAGATGTGAGTTTTAGATGTGCTTTCAGCTTAGTTGCTTTTTAGGGTAGGATGGTAGTGATGTTAAAAATGGCAAAATAGTTCAGTTCAGTTACTTCAAGTAGGTGAAGCTGAGGCCTAGCAGACACTGATTGGCCACGGCTGCCTATTTAGGACCTCCTGTCAGTCACAGGACGACACCCTAACTTTAAGGCTTAACAAAATCCAAGCAGATGAATTATAAAATGTTCACCCACCATACAGGTGTCATTAAAGGGGGTAAGTATCCATAGAGACCAAAACTGTAAATGTGCTCATATAACATGTGAGTCTATTGAGACTGACGATCTTTCGCATCAAGCCTCAAATGGCCTTTAGAAGAAGTGCAGTTTGTTGCTCCATTTGTAGGCCTCAGAGGTTGCTTTCCGAAGTCTTTCCTGATTATAAGAAGCTCTTAAGCCGGTATATTTTTTTGTCCTTAATGACATGTTGATCAGAGACGTGTGTGTGGGTAAGGTGTGGCTGAGAAATTTAATGTAATGTAGATATTTACAAAGAGAGTCTGCATTGTTTATTATCCACCAGGGGTGCATCGAGTTTTTTAAAATATGTTTTAAAAGTATTATCATTGAATTCAAAAGACATTTATTTGAAGTTTGCAGTATCTGCCTCAAACGTCCATCTATTTGTTGAGACCTTGTTATCTGTATATGTTCTTTTTCTTTATTTTTTATTGTGTCGGATTGTTTATATTTTGCAGTGTGTAAAGTGTGCTGTTCTTGGATTGCAGAAGGATTCCACTGTTCCTTGTGTGACTTCACACAATGTGACACTGATTAATCTGGATTTGTATTTATTTCCACAATTTTCCAGTCTGCTGAAGGCATGAGGCAGGTCAGACTCAGACTGGCTGCCTGTCAGGTGATGCAGCAAGAGGAAACAACGTCAGAACTTCCTGGAGGCAGCTGGAACATCTCTCAAACGAGACATGTGAGCGCCTGTGTCTCATGCTTGTTCCTCTTTTCAAACCCATAATTCCATATTCGGGTTATAATTAAACATTTCCCCCTTCACCTCACAGAAAGCAGAATCTCATGCTCTGGGAGCAGAGCAGGATGCTCTAGGAGAGGAAGATGATGTTGTCTTCACCAGTCGACATGAATGTCCACTTGTTCAACAGAAGGTGACTGAATATTCAAACTGTGTCCCATGTTTATTCCTTTCAGTTTTTAATGGTTTTTCTTAACGTGAAATTCATTATGTCCACACATTTACCGACCAACTCGGCCACCACATAGTTACAGATAAGATTAAATTATTTGGAGCATTTGCACTGTAAGATGTTTTTTTTTTTAGTCAAAAACCAACATTGAAATTCAGTGAATTTGGAACTTGCTGTACACCTCCATTAAAAATTATCTTCACTTCACTTTGTCATATAGTATTTAAAAGATGGATGTAAAACCTCTGGATCTTAAAAGTGAAGCCTGCATGGAAGTACCCTAATACTCCATTCTTTCTAATAGTCAGCAGGGGGTGACTCCTGGTTGTAAAAAGAAACAAGTCTATGGAAAATGACCCTATGCTTCCTCCTCAGTCACTCAAAAATGAAGATAAAGCTGGGTATATTTAGGGCAGGGAGCTGGACAAGCCACTCAGAAATGGGAAGTTGAATTAATAGGTGGCTACATGGTAGCTACACCATATGTAAACAGGCTAAAAACAGCAAGATGTAGATAGTAAGTTTGATGATCAGGCAGTTTACCGATTACAGCAAAGGTCAGAACTTGGCTCTTTGCGATGTGATGGTAAACAGGAAATCTGATGCTTTAACTGTTGGTGGATGTCAGGCTGAAAGCTCAGTGCTAGGAAGAGTAGTAGGCTTTTCTCCTCTTCTCTATTGCTGCATTTTTAAATGCCTTACATAGTGTTTATTGAGTGTAAATCGTTGCCCTTAATGTTAAAGTCCAATGTGGATTCTTAAGAATTATTTTGCCTACATGGGATGGCTAGAGCATGATGATAAACTCAACTCTTTCAACCCACAAAGATTAGATTTGATTACCTCTGCTGTACCTTTAATGATGAGTTTTGATACTTTGGTGTATGCCGATAAAGACGTGGTTTGACGGCCATTAGAAAAGTTCCTGGGTTGCTGCACTGGCAGAGTCCATCCTCACCAACGTCCAGTTATTCTGTTCCATAAGCAGGTCTGAAAGCACTCAGTTCAGCAAAGAGCTTCAAGGGCTAAAGATTTAAGAGTGAGCCTCTGTTTCACTCTTGCCAAAAACACGTATAGTTCAAAGTTTATGAGCATGATATAACGCCTCAAAGAGCAGAATTATAAGCCTGAAACCAGGTCAGGTTTCATTATTTCATTACAGGCTGTAATGTTTAATTTTACCACATCAACATCATCATCATCATGATAATGACGTGGATGTGTGTGAGGTTAATGGAAAAAATATATATAAATATAATGTCCAGTTCCCTCTCACATCTTGTGAATCATTATAAGCTCCAAACAAGGACAGTAACATAAAGTAAGGCTTAATGTCAGGCTTCCTCTGTCTGTACAGATTTTTGC